AAATATTCATTCTCTTTATGCTTTTTAACAGTTTAGATTCCATAAGAATTATCTACTATTTAAATGTTTTGTAAAATTGCCCTAGGAAAATGATATTGGCTTGGTGATTCATTGGAGGGGGCTGCATAATTGACACTTCACAATTTCTTCTCTGTGGATTGTTTATGTCCTTTAGGGACAGTTTTGATTAATTATTTTTCCACTAAAAGTATTCATTTTACCTGTTTCTAAATGTGTTTTCCTAGAGTAGACAAATGCATTCCCAACTGAGGCAATTTATCTTTGATATCACAATGGTTTGTGGCACCTCCAAATCTCTGCTTTCTCAACAAATCCTATTTCTTAGAATTTAATTTCTCTTACTAGGGAGAAATTAAAATTTTCTCTTGGAGAGAAAATGAAAAATGATGGAGACATATTATAGTGGATTAATAGTAGTCCTTAGGATTATATTAACATTCTATGTTTAAACCTTTATCATTTTGTATCTTTTTATTTGTACTTTTAATTTAACAATTATTTTAATAATTTCAGAAAAAAGCTTTTGAAATTATATATTAAATCTAGTCACTTTTATTTCCTAGCCCAAAATTTCTTCTTTTAAATTACTTAGTACTTCTCTTTTCTTTCCCTTCTATTTATCTGTTTTTCTACTTTTTACAGTTGGTGCTTATTTAATTAAAGTATTACTTGTGTCACAGAATTCTGATATAGTGTTTTATCATAATTTTCTAGAATTTTTGTTGACAAGAATATTTAAGAGAAATAGTTTTTTGTTTATTTCCAGGTAGAGAGAGTTTTTTTTCAGAATTTTCTGTTAAGTTTTAGTTTTATTGTATTGTGATCATAGAATGTTGTCCATGATTCCTTATTTTTTATTTTATTGAAGTTTTGTTTATGGTTTAATGCATGGTTTCCCTTGTGTATATAATATTAAACTTTAAAAAGAACATGTGATCTCTATATGTGAGGTACAGTGTCTGCTATATCCAGAGTTAGGATGAAGGAGATGAGTAATCTATTTTTGGTCTCCTTCTTTGTACATGTCTTTCTGTCTCCTGTACTGTCTGCTTATATAAGTGGCTGCTCTGATGCATTTAGTTCATAGATATTCATAACTTTCACATGTTCATTGTGAATTTTACTTTATGTGTTATAAAATGTCATTCTTTGTCTCACATAATATTTGTTGAATCCAAATGGTCTGGCATTAAGGTCAAACTTCTGCTTTTTTAAAATTATTATTCCCTTCTGTGTGTGGGAGGAATGGGGCATCATCTGGATAAAACTGATTTTCCTTTTGTTATCAATCATTCTGAAACTTTCCTTTTAATGTATATTGTAATAATATATAATTTTGCTTTTGATGCAATTTGAAGATCATTTAAAAATATGTATTCATTAAAAAATAATATTAAAAAAATAAGTATTCATTGATTTAGAAGTATTTGTCTCAATTCTTGGATTCAGATTTGTGTGTGTGTGTGTGTGTGTGTGTGTGTCCATGTCCTATTGTATGGCTGGTTTTCTTTGCTGTGTATGTGAGTATCTGCATGTGTGTGTGTGTGTGTGTGTGCATGTGTGTGTATTTATCGTTCCTCTGGTATTTAGGAAGATGGTAGACTGTTATATTAATGACCCCTCCAATTGACACCTCCCTGTATTCATGCTCTTGAGTAGTTTCCTCTCACACTGACTCTAGACTTAGCTGTATGACTTGCATTAGCCAATAGACCTTCAGGAAACGTGACACACAGAGGAGCTTGAAAGGACGTGCACATTGAAGCCTTTCTTCTCTCACTGCTCAGCATCTTCCACCTCCATATGAAAAAGGCTAAGCTAGCTTCCTGGAAAAAGACCCCAGGAATCTGTGCCATCCCTTCTGAGGCCCAAATATATGAGTGAGACCTGTTGGCACCACATGAAGCATAAAGAACCGTTCCAATTGAGGCCATCCCAATTTGTCACTTTACTGAATTATAGGCAAATAATTGATAGCTTCTTAAATCATAGTTTTGGGTGATTTGTCAGGAAACAATAAGTTACAGATTCACTTTTACTGCTGCCTCAAAAACAGACTGCTTCCAGAGATCAGGGCTTTTCTGTAGATTCACTTCCTCTGAGTCTCTGAAGTACATTTGGTTAAGAACTTCTGCAAAGCACAGCTCTGTACTCTCCAGTACTTATAAACAAGGAATAGGGCTTGTATATCTCATAGTGATTACCTTGTCTTCAATGTTTACAGTTTTGTCCTCCGTGAGATCTGCTACAACTTAGGATTCCCTGGAAACTGTGTCTCTTCTCCCCATCCCCGTGTGCCTCTTTTGCCTTACTTGTTCTGTTCTTGCTCCATGTTTTTGAGAGCCTAGCTGTTTTTACATTTTATGGTAAGTACCTCATTGTCAAGAAATACATTTTGCTGGTACTTTCTGATGTCCCTACTGATGGTTCCCTTGGCCTCTCTGTAGACCTTTTTCATATGACTTCTGCCTACGCTCAGCTGCTTTGAGCAACCTTCACAAGTACTTTGGAGTTGGAGTATAAAATCTATATAGGTTTGCTAAAAATGGCATTTAACATTTTTTTGCATTCTTCTTGTTAGTTTGTTTAATTTCTAGGGAGAAGTAGGAAAGATGTTTAAACAGATGACACCATCTTTGCACTGGAGTCCATTTAATTCTCTTTTTGCAAACAAGAACCCTTTGCACATATGTTTCTGAAGATGACATAATAACCTTGGGTGCCTTAGTAATCATTAGTACTTCTCAAAGTTCTAATAGTTAGAGAGGGAGAGCATGCCATTCAAACTGGTTATTTTTTTCCTAGACTGAATCACAGTTTAGGTTCCCAGTTTAGGTTTCTATTCAGGCAGCAGTCTCTTTCTATTTGATAAGACTGACTAATTAGTCTTTACTGAAGTTCAGGAAGGAGAGTTTATATTGTCATCATTTCATAGACAGAGACTTTGTCAGAACTATGACTACACTGCAGGAATTTTTTGGCTTTCCTCCAGATGCTCATTGCCTCAGTTTTATTAATTTTAGTTTTGGGCTCAATTTCAAGTTCATAGCTAAGGTGGATGGTGTAGAATCTAAAGCAACAGGTCCAAAAAGGCAGCATCTCAGCTGTGTAGAACTGTGTGTTCTGCACTCCAAGGGCTCGTGTTTGAAAATGTTTCCTCCAAATATGAAGGGAGGTAGCGCAGGGCAGGAGTCCATAAAGTCTTTGCACTGATAAGCTCCCAGGTATGATTTTCAGTGTGTGGGTATGGAATGCTGGTTTGGGTTAGTGGAAGAAAAATAGAAGGTTACTGCTACTACTTTGGCAATCTCCTATTTGCCCCTGAATGCACAGTTGAGAAGGGATTTAATTCCCTGATCCATTCCCCCTCCAACTAGAGAAAATTCCTTCCACTAATGTAATTGGTTCTGTGCTTCTGTTGTGTAAGGCTTGTCAGGCTTGTGGCTTTCATAGTCACTTCTCTCACCAGGCTGTGAGCAACTTGGATACAGGGACTGTATTCGAATCTCTATACCCCAGCATCTGGCACAATATATTGTACTTACTGAAGAATGGGCGTGCCCATGAATAGTGGAATAAATTGAGAAGTAGGCTAATTTTATCTATTAATGTTTTTCTGGTCTCTAGCTAGTTATAGCAGTTCAATCTGCAATGGCATCCCTACCCTTCTCCTCTTTTCTTGCCATCTTTCTTCTCTTTCTCTCCACTGAAAGAGCTGGACAACTGTGGAAAAAGAAACCCATGTTTTCCCAAGCCCCCAGCCTCCCCTACTCTGCCTCCCATCTGGCAGGCCTCCCTCCAGCTGTGTTCTTTCAGTCTAGGGCAGGAGTCTCCTGGGTACCTGTTGCTTGGTCATACAAATGCCCAAGTTGTGCGACCCATTGCAGAGTGTCTGTGGATCACATCCTCAGAGGCCATCTGACCCATTGGTTCATTAACCCTGTACTTATCTACTCAAGAGCTCTTTTGTGCAACAGGGCAACAGCAGGCTCTGTCCCTCACACCGGCTCCTTCCACGTAATTTGCCCCACTCGGCCCCTCGCTTCTCAGACCCCGAGCTTTGAATGCTTCCCCTCCTTATCCCCTTTTGTGCAACCCGTGGCTGCGGAGCTTCTAGCACAGTATTCATGGCAGAAGAGTGAGTGACTGACACGTTCCAGGGATGGCGAATCGCAGCGAGCGCGGGCGGCAGGGGGAGGGTGTGTAGTGGCAGACGGCCGCTGGGATTATGAATGGGGGCGAAGGGGGGGGGCCCGCGAGTGTGGGGTTCAGACCAGGATTTTCGGCATCCGGCTTTGGATAGGCACGCAGGGCTGTGCGTAATCCTTCAGCTCTGGTGGGAAGGGAGATGCCATGAGCTCCTGGCTAGGAGAGAGGGTTATTCTGCAAAACTCCCTTGGTATCGTGCCGATCGAGTACTGCGGGAGGCCGGGGAGGTAGGTAAGGGAGGAAAATGAGCGAGGAGGGGAATCAGGGAGAGGCCAGCCGGCTGGGGACCGCGTGCCTTGCTCCTTAGAATTGACAGGTGGTGGCCTCAGCAGTTACAACCTACTCCACGCATCCAGTCCGTGCAATACGATCACATTGTTATTCCCCGCACCCGCTGAAGAGCGCAGCGCGGCAGACCATGTGCCACCTTGAGCTGTCTCTCTGGGTGGGGGGAGTGGGGGTGCAGAGGGGGGACTGGGGAGCCAACGGAGGAGAGAGCCGCCTGTGCCGCCCCGGCAGGGGTCTCCCACGCCTGCCGGCCGGTCCACGCGCGCGCTCCGCAGGCGCTCCCGGCTCGTGCGCCCCTCTCCCAGGCTCCCGGCCCCGCCTCCGCGGCTGCGGGCTGGTGGTCTCCGGCCGGGAGGCCGGCGAGCGGCGCGCGAGCGTGCCCCCAGCTGGCGCTCGTGCCCGGGGAGCGGGGCAGGCTCGCTCGCGCAGGGCCGGCGAGCTGCGCGGGGCGGGGCCGCGGCGGTGCACCAGCGGCGCCTCGGGCGGCAGGAGGGCGGCTTCCGCGAGGGGAGCTTGAGGTAAGGCTGCCCCGGAGGCTGTAGGTTTATTTTCCCCCTTCCCTTACTTCATCACACAGCGAGGCCGAAATGGAGAGTGGGGCGCTGTGGGGCTGACTGGTGCCGGGGCGAAGCGGGGGCATGGGGCTTGCACCAGGAGGGTCGCCTTGACGGCGTCCTTGTTGCCCCTGGCACTAAATCCGCCACCCGGCCCTTTCTCTTCGCTTCCTCCTTCCCAGCCTCTGCCGCCGCCCGTGGCCCCTTGGCGAGTCCCTGGGAAGGAGAGAGAGGCGAGGGAGGCTGGGGAAGGGCGGACAGATTGGCCCAGGAGTGGGTGACGGATTGGCGCGCGGCGCCCTGTGAATGACTGCAGGCGGCGGGCGCGGGCGGGAGCCCTAAGTACCCAAGAGTTTGCTGGGCTGCGGCCCCAGACTGGTCCTGGGTGCCGCGGTGGCTGGGGAACCAGGTGGGGCGCACCTAAGCCACAGGATAACGAAAGCTGTGCCAGGAACTTTTGGGAAGCCCTGTTTGCTATTTCGGGAGGGTGCTGGAGTGTGCTCAGGGCCTGGCCCTTCATCAGCTATGAGTGTGTGTGTGTGTGTGCGTGTTTAGAATTCCCCCCACTCCTTGCTGCCTTTATTCCACTCCATCCTTCCTGGTTTGCTTCTTTCCTTCCCTTTTCCACAAGGTTCCCCCCCACCAACCCGCCCCAAGTACCGTGCTTCAAACAAAATATGCATTCACTGTAGTCAATAGCTTTAAAGCACAGGGGAAGAGCTCTTAATTACAGTGTGGTTCATTTTAAAGGTGAATATATGTGTACATAAATAACAATGTATATAATATAATACACATACTCTATATTATATATAGTATAACATGTTATTATGCTATAATATATACTATGTATAATATGCATACATACCTGGGGTAATTTTTAAGAAATACTTTGAGACTCCCACCTAAAATTACATCACATGTATATGATGCTAGTCAACAGAAATGGTAAATCTATGCATTTTCTGTCTTAGATCTGTGTGAGATACCACTGTTCTTTGAATCAGTCCATCTTTTAAATTCAGAGATTTCCAGCTGCTTGAAAGCCCTGGGCTACACTGTAACAATAAAAGGTACATTAAATTAAAAAAGTACAGATGCTGGTTTTTTTTTTTAGTGGAGTATCCGCCTTTCCCTCTTTCCTTTTACTAAAAGTTGGTTGGTATGCCAGTTATTTTCATAAAAGCAAACAATACGAGGACTTAAAAGTGTTTTTAGCTAGGTCTGCAGTGTAGGAAGGGATCTGAAATTTATCTATGTAAATTGACAAAAGGTGGATAAGGCAAATGATTTCTCTCTAGGCAAAAGGAAATTCAGCTGTACTTGCTTCTGACCTTCTGATATCCTGAGAAAGAAATCCCCTTAGTGTCAACATCTATCTTCAGTATAACATTGGTCTAATCAACTGTTCATAATCAATACTTGTAGAAGTTGGCTAGTAACATTTTCTGGCTGTTTCTGTTCTTTTTTTCTTTTTTAAACAACAGAATGCCAATTATGAAAAATAAGTTCAATTGTTAAATAGACTATTGTTAAATTGTTAAATTTAACTGTTCTTTGAATCAGTTTTATGTTAAGTTAATGTTAAATTGTTAAGTAAAATTGTTAAATAAACTGTTGGGGCTATCTATATATCTATTATCTCTCTGTGTTCCTTATCACAATGTGAGCTAAGCAATTTTGCAATGTGTCCATTTGTATTTTTTCTCCCATGACTCACTTTTGAGTTTACTTCTGACTTGACATATTTTCAAAGATGAACTATCATAAATTTCTCTGGAGGATATTCATTTGGGTATGCTTGTTGCTTTTGAACAGTTGGTTTTGATTTAAGGAATAAGACATTAATCATATATGGTTTTATGATCTTGGAGTCCTTTGCCTATCTAGAGACAGGTATTTAGTAATAGTGGTATGCATGAGGATTCATTTGTGCATATTTGGTACAATTGTTAGACACAGAAATGATATTTTCATTTTGGTTTACAAATTGAAAATTTTAAATTGTGAAGCAATAAAGAGTCCCAGGTTTCCCTTAATACCTTATTTGCTTACTTTGGTTAGGTAGCAAGAGGTACATGATGTTCGTCTTGCGTTAGAAAGACTTGGGAGCTCATAATATGGATTTATCTTTTATTATTATGGCATAAAACTTTATTGCTTTTTCCAAGAAATTTGAGTAGCAGGGTTTGGAGAAAGTGTGGGGATGATGTTGGTAACAGGACAAATGGATTCCTTCCAGCACTGGTTTTGTAATCATCTTGTAGTAATACGGCAGCCACTATGTTGTGCCAAACCCCCTTTAAGGTAGAGCATGTTGCCCCAGCTTCTGGAAGTGCTGTCAGTGGGGAGTCTTCTCGGGTCAGCCCCTTGGAGGATTGCCAGAGTGGCAGCAAGCCCTTTCATCTGAGTCATGCCCCTCTTCAGGGCAGCTCACATCTACTGGCTGATCCTTGTGCAGATGTGTAGGCCTGGCCATCTTGGCCCAGCTCCAGGCAGCTCTGAAGGACCATTCTAAGCTCTGGAACTCCCCAGGAGGCTTGCGTTGCTGCTCTATATTTTCCTCTGACCATTTCTGCTTCCTTTCCGATTCTCAGATGTTGGCAACAAGGTAGTGCTTAATGAAACTGCCCAGTCAAGATGCATCTCTTAGTTGAATTTCCCAGGGACACCAACCTGTAACAAATACCTTCTCCATGCACATTTATTTTACCAGTTTTAATCTTTTATCTTTTAAAATGTAGTACCACTTCTCACTGCAGGACATGTCCAGGTTCCTGCTCCTCTTCCGTCCTTCCTTCTTTTAATCATTCTTTCCTTTTATTGGATTTAACAGTTTCTTTAATCTCTTTTCCACGATTTGAATGTTATTTATCCCATTTCTATTCTTTTAGCAAGACTTGTTTTCAATATTCATATTTTGTCTTAACAGGTGAAATTAATCAAAGTATCTACTTTTCTCTTGAATGATATAAGGACCTTATAATGTTATTATTCTGATCATACCCCATATGTCATAATATTTTATAGTGATATACTTCTACCACATTTTTTATACCTATTATGTCATTTTTATATTACTATTTTCTTCTGTTGCATTGGATTTAAAATTAATTTTAATTTAAACTTACCCACATTTTATATGTTCTCTGTTGCTTCTTACATCCCTCTCCTTCCTTCTGGAATCAGATTCCGTCTTATGAAAAGCAGTTCTTTGGTAAACATATGTAAATGAAAAATCTCTTAATTTTTTTGTGTGTTTGAAACAATTTTTTATCCTAACACTTGAATAATAGATTATCTGGGAGCAGAATTCTAAGTTGACAATTTATTTTTCTTATCACTTTGGAGATACTGTCTTCCAGTCTCTGCCATTGGTGATGAGAGATTCTTACTTGCTTTAGAGATTACTCTTTGTCTTTGGTGTTCTGCAGTTTAACTATGGCATGCAGGTGAGGGTTTGTTTTAAGTTTTCTTCTTGGGATTTCATATACTTCTTTAATCAGATGATTCATATGTTTCTTGAATTATTAAAAATTCATGGCATTTCTCATCATGTATTATTTTGCCTCCATTCTCTGTGTTCTTTACAATTGAACTCTTATTCAATATATGTTGGGTCTTCTTTTTTATCTCTCATATCTAATTATGTCTGTACTATTTTCAATTAGGAAATATTTTTACAAGGCAATGGGGAAATTCTTCAGGACTATTTTCCAGCTAACTAATTCTGTCTTCATTGGTGCCTTATCTATTGTTTAAATTGTCCATTGAGTTGTGATTTTTTAAGTTATTTCTAGAAGTACAAATTGATGCCTTTTCATATCTACCTGTTTTTTTCCCCTAGTTTTTCTATCATTTTATTATGGATTCTATCCTTATTTCATCTCTTTAAAAATGACTCCTGTACTCATTTTATAGTCTCAGATTGTTCTTTGTTCGAAATTCTTCTGGTAGTTTTCTCAGTGGTTGGGTCTTCTGGTTCTTCCAAAACTGTATATCCACTGTAAGTTAATCATTTCCTCATGTAGTGTTTTATTTGGATTATGAGGTCATCTCAGCCAGATTTCTGCTCTTGGTTTTTCCCTGGGGTAGTCATATTTTTCCAAGTTTTGAAACTTTCTTGTAGAGTGATGCTGTGCTTGCTTCTGTAGGCAGCCCAAGGATTTTTCTGGTCTAGGATTAGCATTTTAAAAAGTAATTATTATTTAATTGATATATTAGTAATTGATATATAACATTATATGAAGTTTTGGGTGTAGAAGATAATGATTTGATAGTTGTATATATTGTGAAATGATCACCATATTAAGACTAGTTAACATGATCAGCTTTTACATTAATTTCCTGGTGTGAGATTCCTGCACCGTGCAAGAGATGTAAATTCAAACTGTGTGTGTGTGTGTCGGGGTGGGGGTTAGGAATTTAACTCAAAGAATACTTTTTTCCTTCTATCTAGAGCCCCAGGAAGAGACAAACTTTCATGCTACTTCCTAAGCCTTGCTTCTGGTCCTTAAACTAAGGAGTCTACTTTTCCATGGTTCTTCTTCATGCAGAGGTTTCAGCTCCTGTTGCCTTACTTTCATGGGCCCCAAACACATATGTTACCTGTCCCTAAACACATATGAAACCCCCAGCATATGGGCATCAGTGCCTGTGTCTCAGTTCTGTGTCACACTTTGGCTTGCTGCCATGCCTAGTTACATGGCTGCTTTTCTGACATTTGTTTCCTTCCTGTTCTGATACCTGCATATTACCTTTCTTTTTTTCCACGCAAGCTTAACTATTTAATGCATTTCAATTTTCTGCTCTTTTTAAAGTCTTAGTATCTAGGTGTTTGTAGCAGAAGGAAGTTTGGTCCCTATTAACTCTGTCGTAAGTCTGTCATGTTAGTGGAATGAAATGTCTTTCTGTGGCTACTTCCATTCTGAGAACCGGCTCTTTTCAGTTTTCTTTTTTTCCACAATCTTTCCTATTATTTTTAAAAATTTCATTATACTAGTTTCCTTTGTTTTTTTTTCTTTTTGTCTTTGTGCCTCAACATTTGTGTTGAGTCTGGGACAGATGTCTCATAGAGTGCCTCACAGTCTGAATTGGTCTAATGGGTCACTCACTGTATTAGGTTCAGGTTAAACATTTTGGGTAAGAAAACTCCCATTTAGGGGACGTGTACTTCCTGTCGCATCACATCATTGCAGGGAAGTCTGTTCCATTAATGGGAACTAAGTTAGGTCACTTGAAAGGTGGCACCTACCAAATTTCCCATTTTATTTTTCTTTGAAGTTAATAAGTACTCGATTGAGTGATGCTTTAAGACTGTGTAAAAAACTTGCTTCCCCACTACTTACACACAATTTTTTAAAAACTACTTTTTCTGACATAACTATAGAATTACTTGTGGTTGTAAGAAATAATGTAGACAGATTCTGTATACCCTTCATTTCGCTTTTTCCAATGCTAATGCTTTTAAAATCTATAATACATATCATGACCAGGAAATTGACATTGATATAATATATAGATCTTATTCAGATTCACTGATTTTACACTCATTTATGGATGTTTTATGCAACTTTATCACATTGTAAGTTTGTGTATTCACCACCACAGTGAAGATACAAAATAGTTCCATCACCATAAGGATCCCTTGTGCTGATTTTTTTTTATAACTACACCCACCTCTCTCTCATTCCCTGGCCCAATCCTCACCCCTAAGAAAGAACCACTAATTTCTTTTCATCTCTTGGATTCTGTGATTTCAGAAATGTTACATAAATGAAATTATAGATTATATAGCTTTTGAGATTGTTTCCCCCCCCTAATTAATCACAGTTCCCCAGAGGTTCATATAAGTTGTATGTAACAATAAGTCTATTCCTTTTTCATTGCTGAATAGTATTCCATGGTATGGATGTACCATTGCTTGTTTAACCATTCATCCATTGTAGGATATTTGGGTTGTTTCCAGTCTTGGCTGTTATGATAAAAGGTACTACGCATCTTTGTGTACAGGTTTTTAGTGTGAATGTAAGTTTTCATTTCTCTGGGATAAATGTCCAAGGATGTGATTGTT